TTGATGGTTGGAATTATCAGAAATTATGATGATAATCTAAAATCTTTGAAAAAAATTAGTGAAAGTATCAAGAAGCACAAGAAAGATCTGACTAAAGGCAGAGAAACTATGCCCTCCAAAGAAGTTGAGTACAAAAAGTATAAGGAGAAATCCGAAAGTTGCTCGAAAAATTCCGAAAAATTTATTTACCTTGGTGCAGGTCTTGCATTTTGCAATACCTTCTATATAATTACTATTCTTTTGGACGGTCGTATGGGATTTTTAACTGCATACTTTTCTATTTTTCTCATGACAACAATTTCACTCTTTGTCCTCTTCCTTGGAGTTAAATTTCGCTTTGATTCTACCGAGTATTCAAAAGTTTCAGAAGAAATAAAGGTGAATCTAGAAGTGATAAAAAGACTGATAGAAAACACGAATGATACGGAAATAAAGGCCATTGAACTCAATGTAGTTAGTCTCATTCGAAGGATACCTCTCGTTTTGGAGTACTGGAAGGATTACAAAGAATCACTTGAAGGGTTAATTGTCGTGTTTAATGCTGGTGGGCATGATTTTGATCCAAGTCAAATGGGTGATAAATGGAGAGAAATAAAGAATTGCCTTGAGGATTATGGTCATATTGTGCGTGATGTTTTAGAGCAGAACGATCTATTGAATGGAAAAGATTCTAAAAATAATTGACTGAAAGGTATTATTCCATTGTCACATATTATTATGCAAAATTCATAATTATTACGAACGAGAAGATTCTAGTCGAAGCATACACTCATTGATTTGGATCTTTTATAAATAAATATATGTAAATCTTATTATAATCGGAAAAATAATATGATACTCCTAAAATTTGCGTGCATAATTTAATTATAAAAATGGTAGTCTCATTTGTTTTTTCCTCCGGCTAAATTTCAGATCGCATCACATTAATGATTAATAATGTTATCGAATGACACGTCCAAATTTTCCTATGGTGCGTAATAGTCACCGAGAGTCCTAAAGCAGAACAAGAAAATGGATTTACGTTTTTAGTCATTGCAAAGTTTTCCATTATTATCGGCAGAATTAAAATTCAAGGTATTGATTAAAGAAAAAAATGTTTACGCAAGTAATTGTTACAAGGGAAAAAGTGAACGTTTGAATATCGATTACAATACTATGATGATTTTATATTCGCGAAAGAATTTTTTTTCTTTTTTGAATATTTACAACAAAGCAAAAAAAAAGATCTGTATCGCAAAATAGCATTACAATGTCATAAGTTCGCCTAGAAACGACATTATAAATTGGCTGTACGTATTAGTTACCTTGCATGATCGTTTTTGGTTTTAAAGAGTATAAAACAAATAGCCAGGTACCTTAGTGCTAAATAGTATTAACAACTTAATCAATCCAATAAAAAATAAACAAGTTATACTCATGTTTTTCAATGGTGTGACTTCTTATACTTCTCCCTACAAATATTTTTTAACAATAATTGATATCATTTAAAGAATAGAGTTATTGAATCAAAATTAATAAATGAGATATTTTTATTAATATCTTATTTTTAGTTTATATTTATCAAAAAACTAATAAAAAAATTTCAATTTATTTATTTGTTTATTGATAAAAATTTTTTATTATTTAATATTACATTTATTATTAAAAGTAAATTTAAAACAAAATCTTTTTTTAAAATAATTTATCAATCTTTTATTATAAAAAAAGATAGTTATAAGTTATTTTAATAATAAAATTAGAAAAATACTGATTATATTATTCTTAATTTTCAAATAAAATTGTAAACAAGATAATATTTTAGAAAATATTTCAATTCAATTATTAATATTAAAGATAAATCAAATATTGGTTATAATACTATAAAATAATTTAATTACTTCTTAAATATAAAAAATAAGTTTGTAATTGTTTTATAATAAAAAATAATTAAAAATATATATATTTAAAACAATATCAAAAAATATTTTATTTTATTTATTTTTTTATCATAAAAGAGCATTAAATGCAAAACTTTATTAATATATATATGCAATATACAAATTATATCAAACATCTTTACAAATTAAAATATGTAAGTTAATATTAACCTATTTACAATACAAACTATTACTATCCTAATTATATTTGATATAATTCAGATAAGTTCTAGTACTGAATAGTTAATGTCCTTCCAAAGTTAATATAAAATCTTAAGATTTGAACAGACTGCTTAACTTAATGGATTACAAATCTGTTAGATCAATAATATTACATAACAAATTAAGATTATTTATAGAGTATAATAATGGTTTTGTTTTTTTATTGTATGACTTGTTAGTATTGGATTTCATCTATTTGATATCAGATACTATCAAGGTATTGATTGTTGCTAATCTTGGAATTTAAATTTGAGTATATAGAAGCTTTAAAATGAAGTTTATTAGTCTGATATAGTTTTTGTTTAAGAGATGGATTTCTAAGTCTATCATGCCACATACTAGTTTATCAAGATATAATTTTCTATTGAAGCTAAAGTTTGTAACTTGTGTCATTACTTTTGATAAAATATTGAAGTTAAATTTGCTTAAGAGTTTAATTAGTTTTGATTTAATTTTAGTTTTAATTTCTGAATATACTTCTCTGTTTTTGAAGTATTCAAAGATATGGCTTTGTGTTTCTAAGGTGATTAAGTATCTAAAACATAAATTATTAATATATACATTTGGGTATCTTTCATATAGAAACTGTTTTGTGAAAAATATTTCACTTAGGATTTTATTTCTAAAGACAAGCAAGAAGCTATAGTTGTATTTGTTTTTTTTAATCAGCTGATTATTTATTCTTATAAAATATTATAGTATTACAACTTCAATTGTTTGATTGCATCTAAAGATGGGTTCCTAAAATATTTAGCATATAAAATTTACGTCCCTTTACGTCCACGTCCCCTAGAGGACATAATTTCTAGCTCTTTATTTCAATAGGGACATAATTTCAGAAATGATTTGTATAAATACTTAAAACTATAAAGAACCTTTGTAGGTAGTTTTTTTTATTTCTTAATATAGAAATGAAAATTTTTAATAATAAGGGACATTTGAATTATGTCCTCACAAATAATTTAGGATCCCATCTTTAATTGCATCTGTTTTTAATTGATATATTATTAATAATATTAACAAGTTTAAATATTTGTTAGATTCTTTTGAGCCAGTTTATTAAAAAATAACTTCAATTATTCTTTATTTTGAAACTTATTATATGCTTGTCAATTTTTATTATATTATCAATATATATTATTATATTATTTTCTTGCAAATTGTAACTCTTATTATACTTAAAAAGTTGTAGACTAAGTTGTTTGATATTATATAGAGTATTAATACAATTAATTAGATAGCTAAATAAGCTTTAACTTTATAGTTGAAGTAGCTTGGTATAGTTAATTTATTATTAATAGTATATTGACTATAATATATATGTGATTCTTAATAGTTGTTAGAATTTCTATAAGTAACAGGGGTATATTGATAGGTTGCTTGTTTTTAGAATATATGGTCAATCAAGTATCATTAGCTTTTACTAGTATATAGCTGCTTTTGACTTCTAAGCTAATTGTCAGAAATAGACAGATAATGTTAAATATTTGTTTGAAATTATTAATTGTATCAAAATTGATTTGTGACAAGTTGTTACTTGAGTTTAATATACTGATATCAATAATGAGTATAAAACTTGCTGGAATACTGGATTGTAGTTATGCTTGGATCTCCTTGAGGAAGTTAGTCAAATAATTATAATTGTCTCTTTGGTATGCCTATAGATAAAAATGAGTTTTTAAATTAAAGGCAAGGACATAATTAAAATATCTCTTACTATTAAAAAAGTTTTTTTTTAAATATAAGATTAAAAAAAAACTACTTACAAAGGTTTTTTGCAATTTAGGCCACTTGATCCAAATGTTTTTGAATTATATTTCTATTAAATAATAAAAAATAATTATGTTCTTTCAAAAAGAACATAATTGATCTGTGAAATTTTATATGCTAAATAATTTAGGAATCTATTTTTATTTATAAAAACATTGCTTGATTCACAAGTACTAAGATTTTTTTTGTCTCACTATAGCATTAACATTTTATAAAAGCTTTGTTTGTATTGATAAAATAATAAAATCCTTTAATAAATAGTTGACTAGTATTATAGTTGTGCCTGGCTTTGATATACTGTAGATTATTTGGTTATTATAAATAGTGGCTCAGAATTTGGCTTTGATATTTAGCATGTATAAGAAAGATCCTTAGAGATGTATTGGAACAATAATTTCAGAAAACCAAGTTGAAATAGGATCAGGTAAAGTAAAACCCAGGTGTGTATTGAATTCATGTCAGGTAAGCTTGCGATTTGAACAATAAACTAGTAAGTTATTGAGAAATTTGATGTTTTTTCAACTGAGGTTACATATTTGTCTTGTAAGATCTTTGCCTTTAAAAAAAAAGAAGAGCTCCAAAGATTGTTCATTATTGGAATCAGTAAATTCATAGCTTGATAAGCAAACCAAGATTTGATATTTTTTACAAGTAAAAGCTGCTTGAGTAATCCAATTGTCTGGGAATTTCTTGAAAAAATATATCAAACAATGTTAAATTGTATGGTTTGCTTGTAAAAATTTGATTTTTATACTTAAAGCTGCTTTTGTTTTGAGATTGCAGAGCTTAATAATAAAGAGCTTTGATAATATAAGTTCTTGTTTATTTGTTAAATTAAAAAACTTGAGGTCAATATGGAAATACATAATCTTGTCTGAGATTGTTTTTCTGACTTTGATTAGGTTATTGATTTTGGCTTGAATAGTTAAAAACTGCTGTTTGGATAAAAAAATTAAGTATAAAACATAGTCAAGTTTGCTTGGAATGATTCAATTCACAACTTGTTTAGTTATTGATCCATTTCAAGTTTGTTTACTGCAAGTCATAATAACTTGGCTTAACTTTTTAATTAAAATATACTTAAATAGTGTGAGGGTCTATTGAAGTCCTCTCTAATAATTAATTTTGTTAAGGCTGAGACATAATAATTTGGTCCGAGTAATCTTCTCTATCTACAAAAATAAACTCAATTTCATCTGTTAGCATGCGCATTCGTCTACTCAAACTATACCTAAGTTCCTGTTATAACAATGGGCATTCACACTATCAACTACTTTGAAACTCTTCCAAAGTCCTTTATGATCGCAGTTTCACCTTCAAATGGCAAAACATTTGTCAAGTAGTTTATTTAAACAATTAGATGTTTAGCAATTAGATTTTTAAACAAATAGATGTTAAGTTTATTCAAACATTTTTCCTCTTGCTTATATACATACTAGAATTAAAAAATTATATCAGATATATCAACTATCTAAACTATCACTAATATATCTAATTTCTCAACTATCTTAACTATATTAAATATCTGAAATAAATCAAAGAAATCAAAAAAAAGAAATATATTACAGATATCTTATTTTTCTCAGATTTGTTATTTTGGGGATCATCATTGCATACATTAATGTGATTATACAATTTCCCTTTCACAATAGGCTGTCCATTATATTTTCTAAAAAATAATTTCCAAGATAACACATTGGTGTTTTTTATAAAAGGGAGTTGATTGTTAAACTAAGAATCTTGAGAAAGGTTTTTCTATTTTGATGGGCATCTCTT